TGGTGCGAGGTAAAGAGGGCGGTGAGGGGCGCGTACCCACCAAGGCAGAGAACCGGGATCCAGGCTGCAGACATGGTAGTCTAGGGGCTGCTCGCACCTGGGAGGGAGGGAGAATGCAAGGGAGGCTCCCCGAGAACGGAGACCCCTACGTCCCCACCACACCGCGCCCGCCCCCCGCCCCCCGCCCCCTCAGGGATCCCGCACCCCTCGGAAACCCAGGGGCGGCCGAGGAGAGGAGGAGACCGAAGAGGCCGCTGCCCGGGAGCTCGTGCCACTCTCAGTCTGGAGGCGACGCTCCGGCTGCAAATCAAGCCAAACCCAGAGTCGAGGTGCAACCCCGGACCAGGAGGAGGGTGCACCCTGAAGACAGACAAGCTGGGAGCGACAAAGGGGAGACACGAACAGGCAGGCGTCAGGGACCCGCACGCCCGCGCCGGACGCCGGGGGCTCTGCACCTGAGTCGAATCCGCCCGGCTGCGCCCGAGTGCGGAAAGCGCGGCTCCCATAGCCGCTATAAAGGCTGGGCCGCGCGCATGAGCACTGTGCGGGGGGCGCGCGCGGAGAGGGGGGGCTGGGAGCTGGTTCCCCCGGGACCGGGCGGCGGCCGTCCAGCTCCGCCCTCACCCCCTCTCCGTCCTGGGGTGAGGCCGCGCCGAGGCGCCACCCCCGCGGCGCGGGACTCAGCCACCTGGATGCCGCGTCCGTCCCCTGGGGAGACGCGAAAGCCTGGGGGAGGGCGGGGGACATCGCCGGCCCCTGCGTCAGGGGAGCCGGGACGAGTGTAGGGCGACGGCGGAAGCGCGCGGGGAGGTTACCCGACGTGCTGCGACCGGGCGTGGCTGCCCGAGGGAGCCGGCCTCACCCGGGCTGGGGAGTGGTGGTTCCCCGCGCACAGTACCCGCGGCGGGAGCTGCGGCGCCGGGAACTCGGGGCCCCGGAGAGCCACCAGGTACACGCGGCCTCAGAACAAACTTCCCAAATCTGTGCTCCCGTTGAAACAAAGTTCGTACTTCTGAAGTCACTCCAACCTGGGTTGGATAAACGCATGCCCTGTATTTGTCAACGGACTGGTTTTTCTTCGGATTTTAGGGATCCAGCCTTCCGACTTTGTTTCTGCCACGGTCGGATTTTCCCCGGGGGCTCCATTTACTGTCATGGGCAGGGCCACGCTTGGGAGGTGGCCCGGACGCTTCTTTACATTTGCCTTTTCTTCTTTTCTAGATCAGGAAGGATTTATGACTGCCTTTCCAAACTCCCAGACCTGGTGTCTGTTGGGATTGCACAGATCTCAGATGTGGTAATACGCTCTCCCATCCCTCTCTCTCTCATCCTGGTAACTTTTCACATGAGGAAACGGGAGAAAGCAGAATTCACGTGGAGTGTAAAGTGACACAGGACCTGCAAGGCAGCTAAGGAACCACCCCCAGACGCAGGAGAGGGGGCACGATTTCGTTTTTTAAAAGTTTTATTTAGTCCAAAGAATAGGATTTTAGTTAGGTCTAAAGAATAACCAATAATTTATATACCATAAAATCCATCCCTTTTCAGTGATTTCCACAATTTTTAGTAAGTATACAGAGTTACGCAGCCCCCCCCACAATCCAATTTTAGGACACTTCCAGCACCCCCAAAAGGATCCCTTCTGGCCATTGGCAGCCAATCCCTTTTCCCGCCCTCAGCCCTAGGCAACACCAATGTACTTCCCGTCTCTAAAGATTTGTTTTTTATGGATATTTCATATAAATGGAATGATACAATATGTGGCTTCTTTTACTGAGCATGTTTTTAAGTTTCATTCATGTTGTAACATGAATGAGTTCTTCCTTCCTTTTTATTGCTAAATAGTATTCCTATACGTTTTATGTTAGGAAGGAAACATACCACCACCACCTGGAAGCCAAATATGGTAGTGGTGTTTTTTTTTTTTGGTAGTGGTTTTACAGCTATCCTTTCAATCTGGAATGAGTCAGTATTGCACCAGGCAGCTGCGGAGGGGCGGGCCAGCGGTGTTGATTTCATTCCCTTTACCATCTGAATGTCTTTTGGAGAGAAAGAGACTGAATAACATTTGTGGACCAGGAGGTTTTTGATTCTTATTTTCATGGCTGCCTTAACGATTTAATCCCTCTCATGGTAGAGAGAGTTGCCCTTTTCTTAGAAACCCAGCAATGTAGCCACCACCCCTGATATTTTCCTTGGGAGAAATGTTAAGCCTTCAGGACCGTTAAAGCTGTCTTTATCATTATTGTTTGCTGCGTGTCCTCAGTCAGGTCTGGATAACCTCCTCCAATTAGGCTGGGCAAGTTGTAGTGATGCTATATAATTAGGGAGAGTTCACCTCCAGGAAAAAGGCTAGCACTCCACAGCTCAACCCAAATGGCTAAAAGGTGCTGCTCTTCAGAACTCCCACAAGGCTCAGCCCTCCTGTGATGTAATTTCACCGAGCCATTTAGCAGAGTCAGAACTATGCAGCTATTTTCCATCATTGACCCTGAGTCTGTGACTATTAAAAAATAAAGGAAATACCTCACTGAGTTTCATTGGTTGTTTGCCCAAAGATACAGTTTAATTATTTTGTTTTGAAACATTTAAGAGAAGTTAGTCTTTATTTTTCTAGTTTGAAAGACTAACCATGTGGAGTGGGGATGAGATTTCTCATTCTCAGTTTGTACCTCAGGCTCACCATAAGTATATTGAGAAAAAAAATATCTGGACTTAAGAGGTAGTTGCTTCTGCTGTGGAAACATCTGAAGAGACGGAAAGTCAAATACATCTGGGTACGATTGACTTAAAAAGACATTGTTAAAATTATAGTTTTGTATTCAACTGGGTAACATTTCAGGGTATTGTACTTCTAGGATGCCTAGTTAGTTATCCTGCTTTATTTAAGAGTATTTGATATTCAAATTTTAGACTAACTCTCTGTAGAGCGGTGGATTCCTAACTGGGCTGCACAATGGAATCACCTGGGGAGCTTTAAAAAGTACTGAATCCTGAGTCCCACCCCAGAGATTCTAATGTAATTGGTCTGGGTCAGGGCCAGGGCCTTAGGATTTTTTAAAGCTCTCCAGGTGATTCTAATGTATTGCCCAGAGGGCCTAATACTTAGGTCAATGTTAGAGGTTAAACAAATAATTCTAATTTTTCATTATCTTTTCATTAAAATTCCACCTTAAATGTGCCTACTGTGTTCTCCTGTTAAAACATGGAAGCATCTTCTGGCCTGATGGTTCTTTGAAAACGATCCTTAACAGAAAGGTTGTAAACTCATTTTCAAAAGCAATTTTCCCTGAGTGTAGTGTCTGATCACATTTCTAACTTTGTGCAGAATGGGCTGGCATTGGGAAGGGAGTGGGCTGCCTCTCAAACTGATACCCTAGGTGGCATCTTCAAGCTTTAGGATGAGGCTGAAAAGAGTTTCTCAAGAATAGCCAGGTTCTCTGAGTGGACTTGGCTCCTTGTCTACGTAGATAACCTCTAGTTTATGGGTCCCCTCTCTTCTGTTTTTATCTAAGTATGAATCTGGTGTTACCCAGAAGTTTTTATGTTTTTGTTTTTGGTATTTTGTTTTTATTTTTTAAAGGAATATCAGTCCTGCCCCACACCCTATACCTTTAACCTCCCCTGCAAACTGTTACTTAGCTAATGCAATGCATAGTGATTTGATTTTATTTTGGTTATGGTGATCTTAAAGTGAGTTTGTTCCCTTTTAGGAAGTGTATATTTGTCCTGCAGTATCCCAAAAGTCTCTATGATTAGTTATAGAGCATAATCAGTTTGTAAACTCCTATCACCTATGTTATTTGACCCACAATGATGTTTATTTTGTATCCATTTTTCCTGCTCGATTCCTTTCCATTGTTCACATGTGATACTAAGCAAGTATGTACATCTAGCCTTTCAGTTTTTGTTGATTTCTAGCAATAGGATAAATGTTCATAGCCTCTGAGGAGTGAATATTAAAAAGTTGACTCAGAGGTAGCCTTATGACCACGAGCAATCACTTCCTTTTTCTGGGCCTTAGTTGCCTTTCCTATAAAGTCAAGGAGATTAGACCAAGTGATTGGAAGGGACCTCCAATCCGGCTGGGCAGATGCTCCCTGGGCACATATAGCCTTCAAGGGCTGTGCTCTTTCTGGGGTTTGGAAACCTTAGGAAACACTGGCTGTGCCAACTACCTCCCAGCACTCATCCCTTCTTATGGAAGGTCTCTTGCTCTTCACCTCTCACTGCTAAACCGTGGCCTGGATCATGTTTTCCCCTTATTTACCAAGAAGTAATGGAGGTCACATTGCCACCGGAATACCACCGGAATGCCTTCCTAAGCGAGGAAAGCTGTGACAGGGAACACACATTGTATAGGCCCAGCACACGTCCCATGCAAGCTCCTGAAGGTGAAGGATCTTTCTCTCATGTTCATCACTGCACCTCTAGTCCCCAGTGAAGTGTCTAGCACATAATAGGTACTCAAGAAATATTTGTTAAATGAATGAGTCAATCCCATTGTCTTGTCATTTGCTATATTGTTTTTTAAAAAGTTAACTTTTGAACAGTTTTAGTTTTATAGAAACATCGATAAGATAGTAGAATTCCCATATACCCCACATCCAGTTTCCCCTGTTAACATCTTACGTTAGTATGACACAGTTGTCACAATTCATGAACCAATACTGACACATTTTTAAAAGTAAATCTATTTATTTATTTATTTATTTTTGGGTGCATTGGGTCTTTGTTGCAGTGCACGGTCTTCTCATTGCGGTGGCTTCTCTCGTTGCGGAGCAGGGGCTCTAGGCACGCAGGCTTCAGTAGTTGTGGCATGTGAGTTCAGTAGTTGTGATGCACAGGCTTAGTTGCTCCATGGCATGTGAGATCTTCGCAGACCAGGGATCGAACCTGTGTCCCCTGCACTGGCAGGTGGATTCTTAACCACTGCACCACCAGGGAAGTCCCAATACTGGCACATTAACTAAAGTTCATATTTTCTGCAGATTTCCTTAGTGTTTACCTAATACCCTTTTTCTCTTCCAGGATCCTATCCAGGATACTGCATAACATTTAGTCAGCATGTCTTCTTAGACTCCTCTGCACTGTGACACTTTCTCAAATGTTCCTTATTTT